AGCCTAGAAGTAGGGGTCTTCATTTTTTTTGTGGCATGATAAGAAAGTGGATTGAACAAAATGTTGGAAATAGAAATGGGTAAAAGATCAATCCCGAGGGCTCAAGTCAGTCTAGAAATCAAAACCTATGTATCGCAAACACTGGTGAAGGTGTCAAAAACAAGAGATGAGAATCTCAGGAAGATAATTGTAGCGATGTAGTATGTATGTCAGTATCTGTGTGTAGGCAAAATAGAACATGAAGGAGCACGTTGTGTAAAGTTTAACATATATATTACGCAGAAAGATAGCCTTATATAATAAAGTTATTTAGAAATGTCGATAATTAGTATCATATAGTCAAAGTGAATACGGTATGTGATGCATATATAAACTGAAAGTCAGCATTAGTAAAAATTGGGAGGTGCAGAGATAAGTGGTTTGAAAGCATATTACCGTTTAAGATTATTATGTTGCTTTATAAACAAATATATGAAATAGCTTTTTGGATAAAAAATACTGTCGAAAATAAACTATGAAAGACACCAAATTGGACAGGTAGTTTTGGAAATTAAATGAGTTATAGTATCCAGATACGATTTAAACGATTGTTCATAAAATAGTGATTACAGTGCTTTATCATACACGATTATATACATTTCTTGGTATTAGGTAGAGGTCTGAATAGATCCTGTAAATACATAAAGCACGTGGGTTATAGCATCCTAAGACGATATAATTATATATTCCTTAAGGAGTATAATACAGATATGAAATGCGATTCTTCGTTGGATATGATTATATATGGTTTTAAAAATGACAGACAATGATTTGACTGTATGTCAAAAATGAATATATGTAATTATATGATGATGAATTATTGTATGAATATGATTACAAATACCATGAATGTTAAAGTCAGGTCTTATGATATAGCATGAAAGTCACAGTTTATATGTCAATAGTTCAGAATTGAGTTATCTTCCATATTTGCATTTGCTGAAACGAGCCTTCTTGGTAGTCGTTCTTATTACTGTGCACTTGTAAAATTATGGTCTACTATGATATTAGTACTCCCCTAATAATAGACTCAATCCTAAAACTGTACATTTGTTATGATGTAACTGCCTAACCTATAAGATCTTACGTGAACGTCACATCATTGTATACACTGACTCATCGTATCGTAACAATTACCAACATATGGTGGAGAACTCATATAGACTGGAGACAGAACAATATATTTAGTATGAGTAAAAGATATGAGGTAACATTCATCAAGAACCACGCCCGCAAGGCCGAACCATGGCATCCGATCAACCAATTCGATCAACGACGTGAACCCTTTCTAAAGATAAGGATAACTATCGACTCATTCCATGACGTTGGGTCCCCGGATAAACGAACGTAAAACAAGCTTTTCGAAGCGACAGACGGAGAGCGAATTTGTAGTACTTCGCCAGAGTCTTGAATACGGATCTCGAATAGACAGAAAACATCGATATTAAGACTTTCTAAAGACATAGCCAGCCCTATCTGTTGTCCGACCTGCATAAGTGTTCGAACATTGAAGGCAGCCAGTTTAAATGGTGCAGGTGTTTTCAGAAAAACTGCTTGAGTATTTGTATTTAGTGGTAGCATACAATTTCCAACCAGGTAGTGACTCGAGAACGTTTAGATAGAGCCGAATTTCCACCATAGGCGAGCTGCTGTATAAGTCGAGAAATAAGGATAGATAAATTGCGAATGAAAGAGAGTGAGTAAATGACGTAGTAAATAATAATAATGTGAATTGTTTGACTGTGAATCGAAGCGAGGATAGAATTTTCAGTAAATATCGTCATGTTCACTTTATTTGTGTGTGGGCTGTGAAACTGCCCGGGTGCCCAAACCGAAGAAGGTGGTTTTCTTATGGAACTACACACCGAGCCTTTGACTTAAATGTCTGACCCACAAAGCAGTGGATCATCGTGAGGAGATGCGGTTCCATGGTGGCCGATGACCAACGATTGGTTCATACGCCATTTGTTCCCGCAGGATACTGGAACCCATGTGCACCATTGATTTGGTCTGGGACCCGGTTTTAGCGCCGGACATTCGCTTCTCGTTCTCTCATTTTCGTAAACAACACCCCCGCCACGAGAAGGCAATAAGTAGGACTTCCCTGGCATAGGTTGTATACGCGTGGCCATTTGAGAGCATTTCAAGAGGGAGGGTGGTCCCACACTACTCTCGGCCCACCAGGGCATTTGGAGGAAACTAGGGTCGCTACACTATCGAAAGTTGATGAGTGTGTATAGGTTGAGAACTAGAAACGACATAATGCTATTAAGGAAAATCCAACCCCCCAAAATATTGCCCGGAAATTAAATACGGATCACAGTGACAGGACAGTTATCTTTCATAAAATCAAGAAGCGAGAAAGCTCAGAACCCAAAACTCGTTTTAAACATGACATTGGGTTGATAAAACAGCTACTAAATCATCTAATGCCTCGGGATATCCCCGGAGAACCTTGCTATTGGTGTATAGACCAAGTAGCCAAATGAACTTAAAACCAGATCAAACCAGGCTGTATAAAGTAGGATTTAAATTTCTTAATGAGCGGGACTTAATATTACAGAAAGAACCAAAACGTAGGTTAGATGCTGGCGAAAAAAACCTAAAAACTGTAAATTTTCGGGTTGTGAGACTTCGACTGAGAACGTTGCCGAATTCCCTATTGATGCATCAACAAGCCATTTAAAAATAGGCTTCGGATATGTTACACAAATATCGAAGACATCCAACCAAAGACAGGCGTTGAAATTTCAAAAAGCTGAATGTATCAGCTTTACGGGACAATCTACAACAGGTGGATTGGGAAGGTCGCTCTCAACTTGATGTGAATGCTCATTGGGATTTTTTACTGCACGCGATCTTATGTGCTACAAAACGGTCTGTTCCTCAAATGGTCCCCAAAATTTACAAGAAACCCAGTCATCAAGAACTGCACTCTTCGTTTGCTAAGCCACAAATGGCATTGTTAGGTGGAATACAAATGAATCGATAACGAAGTTGATAAGAGAAGACAGGATTTATTACCAAATAAAGCTTATGGATGAATTTGTCTCCAATCCGAAAAGCTCATTCCATTATGCAGCCTCTCTTTCAGAGGCCGAAACTGGAGTTCCCCAGCAGCTAGGTCCTAATAGCCCGACCGATAAAGAAGGCGACGCCGCTAACCTTTTGGCTGAACAATACTCTGTGATATTTCAACCGACCCACATCAACTGTACTGATATGTGCCGGAAACTGTAGCACCTAAAAAGACACTTCTCTTGGTTCGGGTATAGTTCATTCTGCTATACTGAGGGAAGCAGCTTCAATCCTGGCAACACCACTTAGCGTGATGTTCTCACACTCGCTAAGCCGAGGTACATCACCAGAAATTTGGGAACTGGCTCACATCACACCGATTTTCAAAGGGGGTCGATGCAGCGAACCGTCAAGTTACCGGCCATTGGCTCTTTTCTCTATACGTTCAAAAATCATGGAGTTCCTGACATGCGATGGTGTACACGATCATTTATTATCTCCAAAATTCTTTTCACCTCAACAGCATGATTTCAGGAAGGTGCATTCTTGTATAACTAACCTGCTGACTGCGGTTGACAGATGGACAACCATCCTTGATCGCGAAGAGAAGGTTGACATGATTCACCTTGACTTCTCAAAAGCTTTTGATAGGATCAACCATATGTGTCCTATAAATAAGCTCAAACGATTTGTTATCGAATCATTTCACATTCTCTTAGGCTATGTAATGTCCTACTGGGGTCTACCAGGGTTCAGTACTAGGAACTCTTCTCTTCTTAATTTATATAAATGATCTTTCACAACAGGTATCGTCAGACCTATTACTTTTTGTTGTTCATGGGAAACTTTGGAGAGAGATACGCAAACAAGAGGATGATTTGGCACTTCAGGAGGATCTGACTCGACTTCAATGTTGGGCAAACGATAACGGGCTTGCCTTTAAAACTTCTTCGTGTAAAGTAGTCGATCTGTGACATGTCGCAGACTATAGTTACAACTTAGGAAACTCCTCTCTAGAAGCGTCCTAAGTTGAAAAAGGTCTAGGAGTCCTGGTATCCTATGATTTGACGTTTTATGCTGACCGCGACAAAACATGCCTTTCAAGCAAGCCTTGTACTAGTAACATTGAAGCGCATTTTTGGCCAGTTTGACGAAAGAAATTTCCACATAATCTTCAGCAATTTCATTCGTTCCAATTAAGAATATGGAAATATAGTATTTTCTCCTTCACTTCAAAAGAATAAGGACGCTCTGGAGAGTATCCAACGGCGAGCCACGAACTCAGTTCGGGGACTTAAATCCATGCCTTATGAGGAGTGCCTCCAATCACTAAATCTTTACCCATCAGGGTACAGGCGTCTTAGAGGTGGCCTTCTAATAACTAACCGTATCCTTAACACTTCTTGATATCCCCTTAAACACCTAATTAAGTTTAACTCCAACATAAACTTTGTGGTACCACACAGAAACTGGAGACGCGACACAGAAGAACGGATTGTTGACACAACTTTTAATCCTTAAGAGTTTTCAAATGCTGGAATTCTCTGACGGCTTGACCGGTTCAAGCAATTTTCTAGGAGTCTTTTAAGAGGCAACATGATCTATTTTTAAGGAATAAGTGAGTATCTTACTATGGTTTATCAATTTCTTTTTCTTCTTTTATTGTTAATATACCTAGATGCCTGCCTGGAGGTATTGGTGATCCATTGCCACTAGACACGGAATTACGTTAAGCGAATGCTTCTTCTATTTCGTTCACGACCATTTGAACCATTTGAAATTACCAGCGGCATAGTAGTAGCAATGGTGTCCGCATCTTTAATTGAATCGTTGAAAACAAAACTAGACACTCACGGACAGATCCTTGAAGGCAGATAACATGGGTCATAGGATTTCTGTCCATAACACACAGATTTGATTCTGAAATCTGATATGATGTGAGACGCGCAGTTTACAATCAACTGCGTTACAGCGTGCTCAGCTGTACCGTTAGGCTAAATTCTGCTTCCTTAAGTTATTTGGGTAAGACTTTATTTTATAAACGGCTTCCGAGCAATGCCAAAGTAACCTTAATAAAGTTTAATCACTTGCTAGCATCAAAAGAGTGTTGTAAATCAATGTGTGAGATAAGGATTAATAGAGTTATAAGTTTAGTTGCAAAGCTATTATTTATGGCCGAACCTATAATATTTACAATTGCAGGTCTTTGATTGGTGACACCATAATCCACGGATGAACTTTGAGTGACGCTTAAGTATGTTTGAACATGTAAACCTACGTATACGTTAGTATACATCAGTATACTAGTGTTAAATGAGGGTTATAAACCAGCGTGAGGTTTTAGGATTATACTATACAGTTGGTGGTTGGGGTTGAAAATTAGAATTAGTGTTTTCATCACAAACTGACATCAGCTGTAACACTAAAACTCTACTTTTCCAAATGAATTAGTAACGTTCGCACCGAAATCCAAGACCTGTTACCTTAAATCCGATTGGCTCATCCATAAGTTATAATCTCGCTATAGAAACGTTAGGTTCAATTTCCGACCTTAATATTCGACTTCAAGTCCTGATCCTTATTCTTAATCCTTATTTCACCTTAGTATGTGGGTGAAACGTTTCATGATCATTTTAACATTCCTTATAAGTCGCCACCGTTTCGGTTAGTGATTATTTATATGAACTTTCATTGAAAATTGCCATCATATATAATGCCAAAATACTGTTTAAGCACATGAGTGAACGGATTTCGCCCGAAAATTCGAGAGTCGCTATCTTGAATCTGATCGGTTTATTCTTAAATTATGGTTTCAAAGTTCTTTGTTGATATAATCGGAATGCTTAACCGTAACCTAATAACTGATCTTTCCCTTTATACCATTTGTTTTGCATGTGGTTAAATCGTATTTTTGAAGCAAATAGCTAATGTTATATTGAGATGGTCATTGTCCATATTAAGTAATACAAAGACCAATAATGATTCAGTGTAATTGTGTTTCTACTCACATGAGGTCTGTCACACTCCAATACTTTGTTTCTTTACTAGTACTTCATAAAGTAGATGGACTAAAGGTACGTGTTCATATTTTCTCATAACATACTCAGTAGGATACATATGCATACGGTGTCCAATTGGCCATTAAATTAAGCTTTTATCACTCAAGTCTCATGTTCAATCCCTTCTCGGTTCGGCCAGCAGGGGATCATCAATAATATGTGTACTAAAGTTGTGGCTAGAAGCTCAGTTTATAAAGGTTCACTTGGTAAATACGTTGCAGAGTACTGCGTGTTTCGGTAGTAATTATAAGCTACATGTCCTAACCTTACTACTGAAGAATTGAGATACTCCAACATAGTTAATTACATGTCGTCTATAAATGTACGCATTATTAATCAAGTATTTTTTTATTAGGTATGTGTCCTTAGTTATATTTTTACTTGACTAGTGCCTATGTAGAAGCAAATATTTCCTGACCTCATACTTATTGACTCTAACCTCATATTTTACGTAATGTTAGGTCTTGTAGAAATAATGTTTATGACACAAGCTATCTAATTAAAATAATATTTCATTGACGCTTCCATTCTGTCGGTCTAGTTATCCTATTTTTAGTCATCGACGTCAGTTTCCTACTATATCCGACGTCTAAGACCAGTGTGTTGTGTCGTTACTGGATTTTTGATTATAAAGCCGTGACACATTCACCTTTGTCCTACTACTTATGAGCCTGCGCTATAAAGTATGAAAAAGCAAAGCAGTCGAAATTACAATAGATTGTATGACAGTGCAAAGTAAGCATAAAAGATAAGATATAAATGAATAAACGTTTTTTAGGGTTTTAAAATTCAAATACAAATAGCAAATGCATCCGCATTTATTAATATACCTGAATCGACAACACTGCAACATCTTCAGCCTTGTCACTTAAGGTCTACAACCATAGGTAATGATCGTTGTACAAACCCCAAATAAGAACTCTGGGACTCCAAACAAAGCCTAGTTTGACAGTCAGGGAATTCGTTGGTTGACGATATGTCCGTACACCACCCTCAGCCTCCTTTGAAGTGAGACTACTCTAGATACTACTCTACATCTTAGTAGGTGGCGTATGGTCATGTGTCCTACATACATCAAACACCTCAGTCAACAAATGCCTTATCAGCTGATTCATTGTCCTTCCCTAACAATTCATTCCTAACCTTAGCATTACACCCAGCGGTCTCACTGTTAGTGAATAATGCTTCGAAGATGTTTCTAATTTAATATTTACAACTATTGTCAAAAGTTAACTACACGGTCAAATCAAACTACACAATCGGCCCTTCGGATTTAATATATAATTTAAAACGCAATGATGGGCAACTTTTAGTCTTCTAAGAGCTGTTTAAAAACTCAGTAAAACCTGACATTTTCTTTGTAAAGCTAGTAGACGCATGTATAAAATAAAAAAATTATTATACGTTCTCATAGCAGATTTTACTTTTTAGTACCTTGTGTATCAAAAACTGTCGCAATCAACATAATTTGTTTGTGTTAGTTCGTATCTGAATGTTTATATTATATTTTAGGTTACCCTGCTTGAAATACCAGTTTCCGTCCTCTTCCAGTTTGCTATTTGTTTGCTTATGATTATATCAGCGGTTCAGAATAGTATTTATTTTCCAACACTTGTAGAATTTTAAAAGGACGCTTCAAAATAAAAGTAACTTGGTCAAAAGAAATGATGGCGTTACGGCGTCTAACAACTAATGTGCTGTGTCTAAGACCGCTTACTTTATGCTCAAGTGGAACTAGATTATTTTCTGCTAACTATCAACTGTCAGCATTAACTGGATCCCCCGTTTTGTGCCCAGTAAAATCGCAGTCTTATAATTTCGTATACAATGCCGCTTCCGCATTAGGACTCTACGTTCCATGTCGTTACAGCACTATATTCAGCGATTATCCTAGTGATATGTTATGGGAAGGTGTAACTGGACCAAAAGGAGGCTCAAAAAAACGTGCAAGAGGGAAACGCAGAGTTACAAGACAAAAAATAAATCTTCATGTGGGACAGAAATTAGGTTTCGGCAAAGCCTCCATACAGTGGCCTGGTCTTAATACTACTGCGTCTTCAACTATCAAGAAAGTAAGTACTTGATTACCAAATAGCAATTTGTAAATCGGTTTGTATTTAATGATGTCTAACTGTGCCTGTAATCGTCTAATTGTAAACATCCATAGCCTTAATTAGCTTTTAGTAACTTGTCAGAAAATATTATTGTTGAGTTAATCTGCTTGTGTTTATGTTTTGCTCGCAAGTTATTGACCATACCTTGAAATCAACTACTCTTTCATTAAACAGTTCGATACCAGATCTGGTTTCATATTATTACCAGATTTGAGGAACATATTATATATTATCTTTCATAGTCCAATTTTTGTGCCCTTAAATATCCACTGGTTTGCAAAATATCGCATTTTGCAATGCAATTGCTCCTTGTTTAATGGTTGTCTACCATGAAGCTAAAAATTTTAATTATAATATAAATTCAAAATCAGTCAGTTATAATTAACGTAAAATCTAGAACAAATATGTGTTAACCGAAGCTTTTAAGATTTAAATTTGAGCTGTAAATGACTTGCTGGTTATTTTTATCTTCACATCACCACACGATGTTCGTCGATGTCGAAGTAAGTTGGGAGTGTAGGATTATTATTTGAACACATGAATATTGGTACAAGAGAGCGCCAATATATATGTGCCACACAAAACAATGAGAATTCGAAGAGATATAGAAAAAAAATTAAGGAACGCAAAAGAAAAAGAGAACAATAACGAAGAGATTGGTGTAAGGTAGTGTGGTAGTAACGAGGGAACGGAAAAGTACAATCAGAAGAAATCTTTCAGGTAAGGGAGACACAACCACTTTCTATGAAGAAAGTAAAAGAAGGTTACAGCAGGATAGCCACTGGCTTCTATTCTGAGCCATATCTGATAACGTCTCTAGCCACTGTGTAGCACCATCTCTCGGACCACAACCAGGGAGTGGTGAAGGACCGACAGAAGCCAGTCCTTTGCAGCTTTCTTTCATACCACGACACCATGTCATGCACTGACCACCTCTCCGCTTCGGTGTTTCAAGATGGTGACACCAATTGCATTATCATCTCTGTGCCCGAACACACGATGCCGAACCTCTGCATTACTGACATGGTGTTGCCACTAAATGTCAGCAATCCATCGGAGACGGCGATGATCGAACATAGAGAGTCGTCTAACGTCCTCAACTCGGAGAGACCAGGTTTCACAAGCATAGAGCAAAACTGCTCTCACCGACGCGTTGTAGATCCGACCTTTTACAGCCAGACTGACATCACGAAAGGCGCCAAAGATGGCCCAGATTGGCATAAGCCACTCTGGCTTTCACTATACGTAAATCGATCTCAACACTCACGCCACCACCAGCACTTATGCAGCTACCCAGATACACGAACTTCTCAACTACTTCTATCTGCTCACCATCCAGGGTGAGTACGGGATTAGAATCCTGCCAGTCTTGTAGAAGTACTTTGCGCTTCGAAGGTGCAAAGCACATACCATACCTACGGACACTGATTGCCAACTGATTAAGTGTGGATTACATGGCTTGGGCATTATCGCACAGTAAGACAGTATCATCCGCATACTCAAGGTCGAGAAGTCTTTCTCCAGGCAACAGATCCACATCACCATTACTTACATTCATCAGAGCTGTTTCCAGAATGTCATCGATGGCAAAGTTGAAGAGGAATGGTGAGATTGGGCAACCCTGTCTAACCCCACTACTCGAATGGAATAATGAAGAGAGGTGGTTGTATGCCCTCACTCTGCCTGAGGTGTTTGTATATAGGGCTTTTAGGATGTTAATAAACTTCTCAGGCATACCCTTTTTCAATAGACAATCCCAGAGATCAGTCCTGTCCAACGAATCGAAGGCAGCCCTGATGTCAAGAAACACTACGATTGTTGGCCTTTGATAAGTATGGCGATGTTCTAACATTTGGCGGAGGGTGAAGACATGATCAATACATCCTCGACCAGAACAAAACCCAGCCTGCTCCTCGCGAGTCAATCTTTCTCGGGTTTTGAACAACCTACGAAGTATGACGGAAGGCAATAGCTTGGACGCAATCGGAAGTAGACTTATCCCCCGATAGTTGTTACAGAAACGACGTGAACCCTTTTTAAAGATAGGAACAACTATCGACTCATTCCATGACGTTAGTACACTCTCTAATTCCCAAACCATTGTAAACAACGTCGTCAATTCCTTAGTCAAAAAGTCACCACCATCTTTAAAAAGAGCCGGAGGTAAGTCATCTGGGCCAGGTGATTTGTAACGCTTCAAGAGTTGGAGTTCCTTGCGTACTTCCTCCTCGTTTGGTGGATCAGTCGTCACCGGCCATGGAGGGCAGGACAGTCTGACCGATGTTGCCGGAGCAGCAGGCCAGTTGAACTACCCTTCGAAAAATTCTGCCCATCGTCCAAAACGTCGATGGATGTTAGTGATTGGCATCCCGTCACCCTCACAGATTGTTTCACTCACATCAGACTTCCTGCTGCCAGTGGCTCGGATGAGTTGAAAGAGCTTCTGGTAGTTACCAGATGCAGCTGCTGCTTCCAGCTCATTAGCATGCTTCGACCACCAGGCTTCTCGGTCCTTACGCAAGCTTTGCATAATTTCCTTACGTAACATCCTTCGTTTATGGTCAAACTCACGGTCACCCGGAGTGGACCGACGGGCTTCAATGAGTTGTAAGGAACCAGAAGAAACCCAGTGCTTATAAGCGGGACGTTTCGCAAAGCCGCAAGCGGCCTTACTCGCCATTTTGATGGCGTCATGCAATTGCAACCAATGCTCATCTATACTTTTCGGTGGAGTGGTAGCTAGCCTAGAAGCTAGCTCGGTTCGATACTTACTTGCAACAGAAGTTGCAACCAGCTTGCTAACATCAATCCGTTGATGGCGGTCACTTCGTTGTCCACTGAAAAGTAAGGTAAGATTGGCGCAGACCAAGGCATGGTCAGAGTCCAGATAGGTACTCCAAAAGGAGCGGCAGTCTTTTACACAACCACGCCAGCGATAGCTGATCGCAATGTGATCAATCTGAGTCCAGGCTTGGGATGCAGAGGGAGGATGCCAGGTGGCACATCGGTGATGACTGTGCCGAAAGTTAGTGCTAGCCAGAAACAGGTTGTGGTCTGTGCAAAGTTGCAGTAGACGGTCCCCGTTATCTGACCTGCGATCAGCGAGTCCCCATCGGCCACCTAAACGACTCTCTTCTGTGCCTAGACGCCCGACCTGAGCATTCAAGTCTCCGGCTAGTACTACAATATCTGTCGAACGCACTTTCTGGAGAAGGACAGATAACTGGTTGTAAAACTCATCCTTGATTGCATCCGGGCTGCAGTTTGTCGGCGCATAGGCGGAGATGACGAAAAGACATCGTTTCTCACTCCGACTTCTTCTCATTTGATGGAACCTTCTAATCTGACAGGACATAACCGACTGCTAATGGGGATCCAATCGATTAGTGCTGCCTCAGCTCTAGCACTTAGTGCGACACCAACGCCAGCAAGTCCAGACGAAGATGCCACAGGGTCCCCGGTTAAACGCACGTAAAACAAGCTTTTCGAAGCGACAGACGGAGAGCGAATTTGTAGTTCTTCGCCAGAGTCTTGAATACGGGTCTCGGATAGACAAAAAACATCGATATTAAGACTTTCCAAAGACATAGCCAGCCCTATCTGTTGTCCGACCTGCATAAGTGTGCGAACGTTGAAGGCAGCCAGTTTAAATGGTGCACGTGATTTCAGAAAAACCGGTTCACTATACGTATTTGGTGGTAGCATACAATTTTCAATCGGACAGTGACTCGAGAACGTTTAGATACAGTCGAATTTCCACCAAAGACGAGCCGCTGTATAAGTATAAAAGAGGATGAATAATGTGGATAATAATAATAATAATAATAATAATAATAATAATAATAATAATAATAATAATAATAATAATGACAATAATGGTAATAATAATAGTATTAATAATGACAATAATTGTAATGATAATAATTTGAATCAATTTATTGTTTTTCGAAGCGAGAAAGGTAATTTCCATATACATAAAGAGTTCATCATTTGTGTGTGGGCTGTGATACTGCCCGGGTGCCCAAACCGAAGCAGGTGGTTATCTTAGGGTGCCACACCCCGAGCCTTTGACCTAATGGTCTAACCCACAAGGCAGTGGAGCATCGTGAGGAGATGCAATCCCATGGTAGCCGGTGACCAACGATTGGTTCATACGCCATTTGTTCCCGCAGGATACTGGAGCCCATGTGCACCATTGGTTGGGAGTGTAGGAACGGCTAAACCAAGATGTAGCATACTTCCATAGAGTCATTAACTGAACAATGTTGGTTGATTCAGTCTATTTGGTTAAGCTCCACGTGACAACCGCAGTCCGTGGTTGTGGACATTGGGGGTGATATTTCAAAATAATTCAGACACATTCACTCTATCTTCTCATTCTTGAACGTTGGTATTCCTCTAATACATACCTTTCCATTCTGTTTTTTCGAGCGATATTTCCAATGCTCGGTTTTTCTCGTTATCATTGCTACTACAATATTCCGACGTCTTGCATTTTGGCTTGTTATTTTCACTTCCTTTTGATAATATGGTGTGACAACTTGGGCCAATATACATTTGTGCTAGTTTCTATGTTGACGATGCCTGTCTGTCCTTTATAAGTACAATGTCCTCATCATGAAGCTGCTGCATCAACACAGTGATTTAGCTTCCCTGTTTTATGTAACTTCGTCGTTTTGAGATTTATTAGCGGAATTCATAACTTTTACCTCAGTCAATTACTAACACCAACTTGAATAGCCAACATAATTGCCATAATAAACATTAAAATATTAGGGATTCCAATGTTCAACAAACTACGAAACAATAACATCTTAAAGTTTTAGTGGAGTTCCTGTCAACCTTCAAGTCAATACGGTCTTCAATATGAAATCGCTTTCTCGATAGAAAAATTCAACGCGGTTTCCTACCGTTGATTAATATGTCTCATGTTGCCACCACCGCTTCTATTGTTTTACTAAAATTGGTCGGTAAAACCTAGTATAATATTCCCGTCTACGGGGAAAAGTTTCCGAAGTATATGATGCTCCACAAGCCACAATAACCTAGGTTTTCTTGGGACTAACTATTGATAGAATGTTCTAAATAAGATTGGTCAACCAAGTAGTAGAGGGTATCGAATAATAAGATGTCCAAGATCTAAGAAATATATTAGAGTCATTAATGCTAATCCTATGTTGTGTACCAGAAACTCGTCATGTACTGATTTCATCTGTCTCATGGGCTCCAACTAAAAATATCTCTATATCCTTACACAACTTTTCGAAAAGACAGTTATCTTCATGGTCCAATGCATTGCTTTCGTTTGTCTATATGTGACATACAAGGGAGAAAGCAAGATTCTCAAATACAACACAGAGAACACCAATCCAATCATACTTGATGGAGAAATTATGGATGAGATGGACACTTTAACATATTTCGGCATCATCATCGATGTTCTAGCCATGATTAATGTTTTAAGTACACACTTTCATATCTCGACTCGCATATTTTATCATAGGACTCCATGGATAGCCTCCACCTTGCTCATTCTATGATTCAGTCATACGTGTAGAGTGCGTCAGAAATATTTTTGACCGAATATCCATAAGCATCTTTTTCTATTTCAGTAATCATACCTTATGATTGTAGAGCAAAACGAACTGTTATATATTCTACTCATCTTTTGATAAACATAAGAATATTGTACTGACAAACCTTGGACAAGTTTAAATGTACTTGCTTTGCTCTTGTTAACAATATGGATTAAAATAAAGCAAATCATACAGTTAACTAAAATTAATAAAAAGTAATGAATAAATATTCACATTTGTGAAAAGTTTATGTAACAGAAATTATGTCTTGCCCCCAACTATTTGTATTGTCTTAGTAACTATATTCAACTATGATTTCCCAGTCATTGTTTAATTTTGTTCAGGACAAACTAGGATCTACTTGTGTATTAATATTAGTAGTATCTTTGAAATAATAAATTTTATACAACGTCAACATCAACTATTACTTCAAATAGTGAAACATTCTGAATAAATTACTAGAGAAGAAAGAAAAACTCAGACATTGTCGATTATTTAAGATAAAAATAGTTATTTCTTTAAAAGGCATATTAGGTTTTTTCTTCTTCGCTTCTTCAGTTCGTTCTATTGTTTATGTCAAAATTGGAAATAAACTATAATAAAACGTTTGTTTATTCTATCTTCAAGTCGTATATACTATAATTCATATCGTTATTTGGATGATATTTATTTATGCAGATTGTATCTGAAACGATAGTTACTTTAGAAGTATATTTAATATGATTTACGGCATAGTCAAAGATGTTTCTGTGGTAGGACACTTTACGGAAGAGCCAATCAGATACAAGACAGTGTTTCTCAAATTTTCCTCAAAATCAATTCATCGGTTTGATCATAAAACATTGTTGCATTTTAACTGACGTCGGTACGTAAAGAAAACTAACACTAACCCATAAACCTAACTTCTAACCCTAACCATAATTCCTAACTCCAATCCTTACTCAACTTCTAACCCAAACCTGACCTCTTGTTGTTTACCTTAATCTCTCTACGTTTATTATGATAAACAATTCAGTATGTAAATGTTTGTTAATCATGTCTACAGTTTACCTATTGTAGTTGATTGCTTTTTATTATAAATTGTTAATTAACTAAACACTTTTGTTCAGTGTCGTTAGCATGATCTTATTTTATCCTCTTTTATACAGGGTGACTACAATGAAGAGTATTTCGAAAGGTTAGAAATGCTTCGTAATAAATCTGCCGTGAAAAAGAAACGCATGAAATTAACTCCTTTACAACGTGGTTGGACAGGAAAGCTATTGGGAGGACAATCTGTTGGTCCACCTACACCAAATAATCCAGATTTCGATTGTTTTGTTATCGAGTCAAAAGTAAATTCATTTTTTCAAAAGAAATGATTATATATATTTATTATATATGTTACACTTGAATTTCATCTATTAAACCATAACTTAAAACACTTTCTTACATAGTTCTATGTTGTTGTCTGGAGAAAATCAATCAGCTTAATAAGCAATAAATTTAACTTGAAGTGTTACTGATCAGTGTGTACTTGGTAGCTGCGTGTTGTATATGTAATTGAGTCCAGTAATATTTATAGATACGCATATACACTAGTGGAATCAAGTGGTTTATGAAGACTTCTATTTGAAGTTTGTGCTGATGATGTCGTTCAGAAGAACGATGAAAGCTCCACGACCAAACTATCCAGCTCAGAGAACAAAACTCCACCAAAATCATCCACCTGAGCTACAAATCTTCTCCACCATCTCAGATTTATTTGTTTTGATCAAAAAATGTTGTTCAATGTTTCCTGATTTTCGATAATTTCTCGGCTAACACTATTCCATACATTATTATTATTCCGTCAGTCAGTTACAACGTAGGACCAGGCACATATATGCATCGGTCCAAGTTGTCACATCTCAATAACACAACAAAATGAACACCTAATTCACAGAAGCAGTTACTTCAGTGGTAGTAATATATAAAAGAAAGATTGCATATAAGGATATAATATAGAGAGGAAGAATTAGTTCGTAGAATGAAAGGTATAAAGTAATCTCATGGTTTAAGAGAAGACAAAGGGTGTATACACCTACTCCATTGTGATCGATTTTGAACCACATCACCTAGTTCCCAACCATTCGTTACGACAGTTGCGCGGACCCCAACCAAGTAGTCTAAATCTATCGACGTGGCCTGAGGCCACGTTTTGGTTTGCCCGCCCCTAACTTTCAACCGTCTCCAACACTCGTCAGCAGTGTGCATATTGGTAATCGGCGGGTGAGCATGCGTATTATATGTCCTATCCATTTCAGTCTATGAAGATTCACAACCTCATCAACTGATTCAGCATTATTCGCGAATACCCTGCATCTAACCTCAGTATTGCTTACTCGGTGATCCCAGCAGGTGAGAACAATATTTTTGAAACATCTGTGATCAAATCCTAGTAACTTACGAGTATCTTCTACTCTTAATGGCCATGTTTCGCAACCGTAAAGAAGAACAGAACGAAATGCCGCACAGTATTCTCGTCTTTTAATTGATAGACGGATATCTCGCCTTCGCCATAGGTGACGTAAGCTGGCAAAAGCCAAACGCGCTTTTTGAATTCGTGCAGATATTTCGTCAGACATCAACCCATTAGAGCTGATTATTATTATTATTCAACATTTAATAATACTGTAATAGCTGCTTGTTTTATTCACTTTGAATGTGTAAATACAGTTAAGAAAAAGTTTTAGTTCTAGGTGTTATGAATTTACTCAGCCTCAACGTAGCCGCTAAGTGGTGTCCTGTTACTTATTATTAGCCCATCCAAATATTTTATGTACTAAATCTGCTTAATCAAAACAGGAGAACAGCAAGTTAATTTACCTTTCATAATATGATAATATACATCAGTTATCAAACCACAACTCATACCATGAATAAATTTCAGTAAATAGAAATTACTTCTGTTACTCCAATACATTGTGTATGTAATTGTGAATTGTTTATCAGTTAAAACGACAATATTATCAGGAATGAAGACAGTTCAGCGTGGAAACTTTTCTTCTCGAAGATTTCATTTAATTAAGCTGTACAATCGTATTTCGAGTTAATTTTATTTGCTAGAAAGTAAGATAGAAAGGTGCTAATTATTTTCAAAAAAACTTTAGTGTAAATTCATTTTAGTATCGTTTGTTTGAATCTTCAGATTGATATTTAGGACTTCATTTAATCAGTCTCTTATTTGTATATGTGCTTTCTGTACGGATTGCCTCGATATTGCCGTAAGTCACAAGCATTATAAGCAAATATGGATGGTGGTTAGCAGTGGAATCCAGATTGACACACGGTTCGTCCTGTTCGGGACTCCTCAGCTCGATGTATTTGCATCCAAAAGTTGATATTCACTCCTGGACTCGAAAGGAAGTTATGTAATAATTGACTTATCTTACCACATTTTCACCAGCCAATTTTTACATAATTTTAAAAATCTGATTTTCAGTCCTTGATAGCATGCCACTTCAAGCTTTTTAAGAAAATAATTAGCACATATCTATCTTATTATAGAACATTTTTACTAAATAAAACTGTGATTACGATTGTACGATTGTTGGGGAATGCTGATCGGCTGCCTATGCTCCATTGGGAGTAACGGGCGTAAGTAAGTAAGTACGATTGTACAGCTTGAGTAAGTGAAATCGTCTAGAAGAAAATTTCCCTCGCTGAACTGCCTTCTTTCTTCTTCAGTGACACAATGAGTCTCTTTCATTATTATCAATATTAAAAATAAAGTTCACAAATCATAACTGAGTGAAGATATACCTTACTGACAACTTTCACTGACTCTTAGAATAATTCCAAGACAGTAAAAACAATTTTCAATCGATCAAACTTCATGTGATTTAAATGAATATTTTATACCTCCAAAAAAAGAGAATGTAGTTATTGAGATTAGGGGTTTGAACTAATATTTCAAGTTAGAAGTTAATAGTGCTCGTAAAGAATACAGTAGAATACTTTGTAGTCATATGAATGAATACTTGTGCAGTTAACTCTACTTCTAAATTTCACGAAACTTTAAGTGACTGATAATAATTCATAAATTTTTTTATTCTTTAATCTCATATTTATCAATTCTAAGAGTCTAAGTAATTAAATATCCGTGGTTTTTGCTTAGCTTTTAATAAACTATAAACCATTCATAACAAGAACAAAGTTAAAACAATCGTGGCTAATTTTCAGGCAATTCTTAGTTAAATTAATGAGTCGATCTAAGGTAAATCATCATTGAAAACCTGGAAGCACTGAACGGCCGTTTCGTCCTGGTACGGGACTCCCAAGCAATGCGCATCCACGATCCCGCGCACGAGACACGAACCTAGGCTAAGCGTTCGCGCGAGAGACCGAACGTCCTGGGTCGGATATCTCAACCTAAATGAGATTTCTTATCGATTCAGTAAGTTAATTTCATTTATACATTTAGAATTTTATGGTTGACATACTGAATTACTTAGGTTTTCTAGTTATAAAAAATCAATAGAATTATTGGATAATACTAATAAATTTTGTTTGTATAATTTAGGTTGTCGCAACAGTGACTGCAACAAAAGGACGTTATCGTCGATTTTCAGTTGTTGTTGCAACTGGTAATGGACAAGGTTTATGTGGTATTGGTAAAGCAAAAGCTTTAAATATATTATCTGCAACTCGACGTGCTAAATTACGTGCCTCACAAAATATTATATCATTTGATCTTAAAGAAGGAAGAACATGTATGTTTTTTAAAGTTTTCATATATATATATATATATATATATATATATATCCATCAAGTGTTTTTTAGTTTGTATAGAAACGGTGATTGTATGATTAGATCACTCAGCTTTTAACTAGTAAGTCACAGATTTTAATCTCGTTAAGTAGTATTATGATGTGAGGTACTCATATCCACTTAAGTAGTATATAACGATAGTCAGGAATAGGATGTATTTCAGTAGAAGACCGAGAAGGAAAGATAACTGGATAACCGGATGATTCAAACACTTATAGTGATATCTGATAACAAATGTTTACGAAGCTGTTTATGTAATTTTATTGTCAATCAGTTCCAAGTATGCTTCAACAACAATCAAAACTCAATTTACATGCTGACCAATAATGTTAGAATATCATTTTGACAATATAGATCCAATTTGTCTTGTATTGGGATAAAAAACAAAAGAATAAAATGAGAAAAAGAGAAAGGAGCTAATTTAGCCGGGAAATATCGGATACTGCGAATGAAAAGGGGTTATTAAGTGTTAATAAGCGATATAGGGTAACAAATAAAAAGGAACTGGAGTAAAAAGAAAGTCAAAAGCAGATCATAAAAATAAACTTCATAAATCTTATTCCCTCTAAAATAATTTCCACTTGTAACATTAAACACTTGTTATATCTCCGTTCTCATTGTTTGAAATGCCACTCAGTGGTTAGACTCATCAACTATCTCATCGTTTCATGTTTTATCTATAATCAAAAATGTATTTCTTAGAGTTTACTTCACTAATAAGTTACCGGACAGTGATGAATTAATAATTTTAAATTATGAAGGGCATAAAGTATCGGACAGCTTCATCAATAATATTCAGTTGATGGTGGCTCTGCTCTCACACCATCCTTATCGTCTTCATGTCCATCATTAAGACATTTGTTTCACTTAAAAGAAGCTGTCTTCTCATTCATCATCTTCACAGATGGCTTTAAACATTTTACGCATTTTTTAAGAGTATTTCCTACGTTTCGTCAAAGATTTGATATATGTTATCATTTGACAAACCGTGTAATGTAATTTTACTACGAATCGGAGGATTTCACTATTTTTCACCACACCTTTCGATACCTTTACCTTGATCAATTTGTATAAGATTTTCTAGTAATATGTATGCAAGAAAGCACTTGTCAATCTTGTGTTATATATGACAAATCATAGGCGCAAATAACATATCGTCCCATACTAGGACGAAACGGCCGTCCAGTACTTCTAAGTTCTCAATGGGGGTTTAGCTTACATCGACTCATGAATACAACCATTAAAAAAATATAATTAATTCTCTACATAATTCATAATACTTTTCTCATCAATTACAGTATGGCATGTTGGATATGTTTGTCAATGGAACAGTAAAATCTTTGCAGCTCCTCTATCAGAAGGTAAGCTTAATCATGTTAATCTCTTCATTTTTAAGCAAAATAATAATAATAATAGATTCTGGAAAATGATCAAAGTAAACCAATTTTACTAATGTATCCTATTTATTTGTGTGTGTGTGTGTGTGCAAAGAATGTGAACTTAATTAAGCAATTATAAACTCGACTACTTTGATTTAAACCATATTTTATATATATAATTTGAGGATTATTTTGATTTATTCAACTTTGCACAAAAAATAAGAAGATATTTTGATGAGATAAGTACTAGAAAGTACAATCAAGTAAAAGAAGTTAACAAGAATACATTTTAGTTAATAAATACAACTAAAAACAATCTTTCCTAATAAATTGAGTTTTTCTTAATGTTATGAATGTAAAAACAAATCACAGTATCATTTTCCTTAGTCATTAATCTGGGCCATGTTTAATAACAACTGATGCCATTGAATTGCATTGTCTTTAGGATCCTAATCAGGAAGTTGTGAAAGACAGACAAATGCTGTATGGTTTTTTTTTTCTTCATACATTGGCACCAAGTCATAAACTGACTATCTCTCCGCTTTTTCTATCCAGTTTTCTGTGTCAGCAATTAATACTCTATGTGGAAGTCAACCTAATACATATTCAATCCATCGAAATTATTGGTTACACTAATCGTGCGGATATGGGCTTGAAACTGTATAACCAGTTAATGTACTATTTAATTTTGAATAATTTCTCAGATCGTGTATCATAAATATATTCTGTGAATAAACTGTTACGTACTATTCCTTTTCTCCAGGTGCTGGTCTAAAATGTCATCGTATGATTAAAACATTATGTCAAGTTATTGGAATTAAAGATATGTATGCTAGAGTTGAAGGTAGTACAAATAATTATCAAGCAATAGCAAGAGGTTTTTTACGTTTATTAAAACAACAAGTATGTAAAATTGAATTTAAATGACAATTTGGTTTATCTATTAGTTATATATATATATATATATATATATATATATATATATATATATATATATATATAGTTTAATTGCTCCAAAAATAAACTACCAGATAGAATAGGATTGTTATAAAGAAATGCATTAATTATCCAATACATTTAATTATCAGTATAGGATTGAGCATTCGCTCGCGAGACCGAAGGACCTGAGTTCGAATCCCTGGTGCGGAATCGTGGATACTCACTGCTGAGGAGTACCATGCCAAGACGAGACGGTCGTTCAGTGCTCCCAGGTTTTTATTGGTGGCATAACATTCATCCATTTATGATATCAATTTAAATTCATTTGATGTTAAATAAATTACACTGACTATTTATTACATTTTAAGTACAAACCGTCATTAAGTTAGCTATTTTTAGCACATTGTAAATATTTTTATATAGACTGATAGTATATTACAAGTATTATTTTAGTACATAACATTAGTTATATAAATAAAAAGGGGAATATTGGCTGATGTTCAGGGATTCTAATATAATACTCTGACAATATAGATCTTGTCTACATAGTTAATTATCGACAAAAATGTACGTTTTTTGTTGTTTTTTAAGAGAAATTTATTATTTTCTTAATTTACATATAACCTGATATTCTGATGCAAACCTGTTTTTTTCGGTTTCGAGAAACTAATAAGTGAGCAACATTGAGGTTAGATTTAGAGTACTAGCCAACGGTGCGATATCAGTCAATAAGTTTATAAATCTTTATCGACTAAGGTGGTTAGGGACATGGGTTACATATGCCTAACTACCAATCACTTTGATGGGTAATGTTTGTTGTTATGGAAGAAAGGCTAGAGGATGAGACCTAGGGGCGACTAAATTTAGATTTAACATCAGTCCATATAGTCATTAACTGAGCAATGTTGGTAGATTCAGACTACTTGGTCAAGCTCCACGTGACAACCTCAATCAATGGTTGGAGACTTTGGGTTTAATAGTTCGGAATAATTTATAATAATTCAAACACATTCACTCTATCTTCCTCTCATTCTCGAATCCTGATATTCCTCCGATACACACCTTTCCATTTTATCTTTTCGAACGATATTTCCAATGCTCAGTTTTTCTCGTTATCACTGCTACTACAATATTCCGATTTCATTTGCAATTTGGCTTGTGTACACAATTACTTGTATTCATTAGGGTGATCTGTTGGTGCTTATGTCGAAAACATTAACTCTTTATCTATGTATTCGGAACACTTTATTGTGACGTTTATTTTTTTTCTTTTTAGAAAACGTATGAAGATTTAGCTAACAGTTTAGGACTTCATGTCGTAGAATTTGCTGCTGATCGTGATATGTATCCGCATGTATTGGCATCTCCTGCATGTGGCCATGCCAATGATTTTAACAGGAATAATGTCAATGAGTCTGATGATTCTTCTGCTGTGATCCACTCAAAATCTTATGAATTACCTCAAAGACTTCCACTGATAGTTCCACAGAATCCAACACATCATAAACCGCGTAAACCCATACCTGAAGAACATGACAATTTCTTAGATGATTTAATTGGCGTTGATGAAGACACAACCACAGAAACTAATATTTCGGAATTATTAGCAGCAGGTGAACGTGATTTAGATACTCTTATGTTGGGAGGACGTGTCCCACTAAAAAAGAGTTCATCTCATAACAGACAAATTACTAACCCCATGGTTATTAAGCGACAAGCAGAACGTCATCGTTATCGTAACCAGCAAGTTGTCAGACGTGAGAGAAACGCTCATATAACATTGTCTGTAAATTCAGTTTAACTATAAAACCTTGTATATATATTTCTAGCATAAAGTTTTAATAGGTATTTTACTTCATATTTTGATTGTATTCTGTGTATTTACTGAAACTTCTGAAGGATACACTTCATAGACATACATAGGTTTTGATAGGTTTCAACCAAAAATAATAGTGAGGATATTGACGACTTGAAATGCTAGCATTACGAAGACATCTCTGCTTATATAATTTGTAGTTTGAAAACAAACTCTAATTTCTCAGTCTTCTACCATCCAAATTCAATAAATATTGTGACATCTAGCACCTTGATAGAAGTATGGTTCACCTTTGTTTGATTATAACATATTAATGACGATGCCTATCATCAAATCAACGTAAATTGAATACTTTGATGCTTGATTTCTATAGTCTTGGTAACCTTTATGACTTAGGTCATTTAGATGGATTTTAGATCAATCTCGTTTTATGTATTGAGTTGCATTTTGATAGATAAATAATAGATATATGATAGTTTGAATCAAATTCCACCTGTTCTAGAATTACTGCCGGTCTCATGCCCGGGTAAAAGAGGAGGATTGGGTATGGGGTCGGAAATCCCATCCCGTAGAAAAAAATCATGTTAAAAAAACACCAACCAGTTAAACTCTGCCTGGGGGCTGAAGGAAGAATTATGACGCCTCAGGATGAAAGCCAAAATTCTTCGAAAGTCACGAGGCCGATTCCCCTTCTAACAACCAGAGCAAGAATTTTTATAGGCACATGGAACGTCCAGACAATGCGGAAAATAGGAAAGACCAGTCAAATAGCAACGGGAATGGGGAGATACGACCCGGCAGTACTCGGAATCAGCGAAAACCATTGGACCCTAGCTGGACAGCAAAGGCTAGATGCAGGAGAGTTGCTTCTGTACTCCGGTCACGGAAAGGGAAATGCTCCACACACTCACGGAGTTCCTTTCAAGCTGTCCGAAGAAGCACATGTCCACGTCATCCATAATTTCTTCATCAAGTATGATTGGATTGGTGTTCTCTGTGTTGTATTTGAGAATCTTGCTTTCTCCCTTGTGTGTCACATATAGACAAACGAAAGCAATGCGTTGGACCATGAAGATAACTGTCTTTTCGAAAAGTTGTATGAGGCTATAGAGATATTTTTAGTTGGAGCCCATGAGACAGATGAAATCAGTACATGACGAGTTCCTGGTAGACAGCATAGGATTAGCATTAATGACTCTAATATATTTCTTAGATCTTGGATATCTTATTATTCGATACCCTCTACTACTTGGTTGACCAATCTTATTTAGAACATTCTATCAATAGTTAATCCCAAGAAAACCTAGGTTATTGTGGCTTGTGGAGCATCATATACTTCGGAAACTTTTCCCCATAGACGGGAATATTATACTAGGTTTTACCGACCAATTTTAGTAAAACAATAGAAGCGGTGGTGGCAACATGAGACATATTAATCAACGGTAGGAAACCACGTTGAATTTTTCTATCGAGAAAGCGATTTCATATTGAAGACCGTATTGACTTGAAGGTTGACAGGAACTCCACTAAAACTTTAAGATGTTATTGTTTCGTAGTTTGTTGAACATTGGAATCCCTAATATTTTAATGTTTATTATGGCAATTATGTTGGTTATTCAAATTGGTGTTGGTAATTGACTGAGGTAAAAGTTATGAATTCCGCTAATAAATCTCAAAACGACGAAGTTACATAAAACAGGGAAGCTAAATCACTGTGTTGATGCAGCAGCTTCATGATGAGGACATTGTACTTATAAAGGACAGACAGGCATCGTCAACATAGAAACTAGCACAGATGCACACTGGCCCAAGTTGTCACATCACATTAGAACTTACTTAAGAAGTGTGTTCCGATTACAACACAGCAAATATTTCGTATGATCGGTTGTGTCAAACGCTAAATGTGTTTCTGAATATGTTAGTCAACCAGACGCAACATAGTACCTAGCACATTTACATCGGTTCAAGTTGCCATACCCTATTAATACGAGATAAATTCTCGGAGTAGTATAATTAGTAACACGGTTATCGTAGCAAAATAGATTATGCATGCAGGAAACAATTCTAAAAGCACAAATCTTTGAAACAGTAGAGAAAATTTGATTTCGGTGAAGTTTTGTTCTCTGAGCTGGATGGTTTGGTCGTCGAGCTTTCATCGTTCTTCTGAACGACATCATCAGCACAAACTTCAGCTACAAATCTTCTCCACCATTTCAAAACCATATGAACTTAGTATGCTTCTCTTTGTTCAAAAATGGGAGATTTTTGCCAAAAGGCATGCTTCCACTCGAGAGCAACTGTATTTTCTTCACGAGTGTCTTCGCCACCATGTTCTACCAATAAGTGTTATATACAGACCTCTAATCGACTGCCCATTGGGATGGAGAATATCCGAGCAGTGTTTCAAAGACACCTATAATCGAATACTGAATTTTAGCTACAGTACAGATGTATCATTGCTTTATATAAACCTAGTATTTATGAATTTTTGACATCAGACAGTGATCTTTGTGTACGAGCCTTATGAGTTAGCTCATGATGAATAGTGAGCTCATTTCTAACTAACTTCAAAAATACTTTGCCATTGAATAAAAATAGAACTCAGCGAATAAAATTTCCTTAAGCTGTACATTCATATTTATAGCTGTTTGGCAAATATATAGGTCTTTAGGAAGATAGAAAAGATCGCATCACAAATAGATTTGAGATTTCAAATGAGGTTTCGTAATAAGCATGGGGTTAGAGAAGAATGGTAGATGGAAAAAGTCCGAATTATGAGAGATAATTATATACTTGACAGATATGTAGCGGTAAATAAATCCCCGAAATAAGTAGTCCTGTAAGTCTTTAACATTGATGCTTACCTAATTAGTTTTTCTAAACACACCTAACTGAAGGTCCTATGTATAAAGACGTCGTCAAACTCATAATACCTGTGGCATCTTGAGATAAGAAAATTGAGAAATGTAAAGGATATAATAACAAATGAATAGTAATCATGAAACGTTGTTAAGGTGCAATGATAACGGATTATGGTTCAAAGTTACAAAACAATAATAAAAGCAAAACAAATTTACTTGCTGTTGTGTGGCAGGTTACATTGGCCGCACAAAGCGGTCACTACGAAAATGCATCTTAGAACATTACCCGACATGGCTTTTTAAATGGAGGGCGCAAAACAATCACCAGTTCAACCTTGAACATGTTGCTTGAAAAGAGTCGCCGTTCAAAATAATCTAATGGAGGCCTAATCAAAAACTTATTCACTGATGAAGCGATGGAGATCAACCAGTTCAAGCCCGAGCTCTACGTGCAAAAACGATACGTCCAACCACTCATCCCTTATTAATATGGCGTTGTTGTTGAATTTTTGATTGAGACCATGAATCGACCAGTCAGACCACCATTGGAAACTCAGAAATACTGGACAACTTTTTCGTCTTGGCATGGGACCCCTCAACTGTGCGCACCCACGACCCCACACGCGGGATGAGAACCCAGGTTTATTGGTTTCATGCGCGAACGCTTAACCTCTAGACGCCTAAGACAGTATCAATGTCCAACTTCAAACAACCCACGTAATTGTGCGACCATCTTGCACTGTCTGACACAGATTAGCCTCGCTGGTCACGATCTCTCACACGAATCTAGTTATTAGTGAACACATAGTAGTTACTAGTATGGAGCTAGGATCCTTTCTTTGTCTTAATTTCCATCTGCAGTACTATCCAGTTATTGTAACCTTCACATTTCTCATTTCTATTCATATCCGTCAGGGGGATAGTTATCTCATAATTCTGACTCGTAAATTATTTTCTATTTACTATTCTTCTCTAACCCCATGCTTATTATGCAACCTCATTTGAAATCTCGAATCTACTTGTGACGCAATCTTTTCTATAGACCTATATATTTACCAAACAACTATAAATACAAATGTAAGTAAGGATTACATCGAAAATGAAATTCTCTTCGTTGGATCCTCTTCTATTTCTATGTATTGATCGTTCCAATCTTATAGAGGCTTGTCACTGTGATAAATGTTACAATAGATCTTGAGAGTATCCTGATAAGACATCAATTTTGTGTGATAATCATTTAACCAGTTTTAATGTTACTTTTAAGCCAGGAATAATGTATTTGAGGATAAATCAAGTTATCAACTTTTTAAAGATACTGTCGAACATATCTGGCTGGCGTTTTTTAGCAAGATTTTTTTCTCTGGTGTAGGGTTGCCGACTCCATGCCAAACCCTTTCCTTTTACCCAGGCTTGGAACCGGTAGTAACTCTAGGAGAGCTACAAGAGATGAACAAATCTACTGAAGTTTATTTACTGATGGTTGATTAAATTTTATTGGTTCCTAAAATGCATTTTCTCTTGTCTTTCTTCTATTATAGGATAGTAATATCTAATTGTGTCTTTTTTTATCCCGATATTCAATACGTTATGTTTTTAATCATAATTTTAAAACACAATATGCAATAATATAATTGAGATGAGTTTATATTCTATCAATCAATAGTATTATGTTTACAGAGGATATCGTGTGAACTAACATTAAATTAAAGTTTTTTAACTCAACTTACGTTAAAATTACGAATGTATGGATTGATACTTTACATTTACGAAAGTCATGATACACTTTATCTGTATGTTTTATCATAATAAGGTGTGATCGGCTAATAAGTGCGGACGGTAGTTATTCGTATTTTATTAAATATTCTCCTATCCCTGTTAATTGTTACAAGCATGTTTAATGCATGAGAAAAAAATGCCTGGGAAGAGTATCCAGTATGAATCCGTGACAATCGTATCATACGTTATTGAATCGTTTCCTAATGTTCGTCTTACCAAAACTGTTGTGTCCGGACGAAGAATATGTGAATAGTGACCACTAAGATCTATTTGTGGACATTTATTACATACATTCTTATTATATAACCATTAAGTAACTATACTTCATGTATATTCATATTCTTTTTATTATGAACTTTATTTGACCTGTTAACTATTATTATACGATTTAATATTTTTAAGATATTCCCAATTTATTAGTAACCGTCTCTCATAATCACAGCCAATTTTTGACTTGATCTTGTATAATTATTATTTTCTATTTTATGGTATGATGCAGTCTGGTTTGATTGTATATAAACTGAGTATAACTTAAATGTATGATTCGTATTGTGGAGGCTGATATTAGCGTTCTGGACTTAAACCGGCTGGATTAGGAGAAAAGCTATTATCTTGGTAGACCAATAAGAAATTTAGACTAGTTGTATAAGTCAATGTCTTTAATGACTCTCTGTGTTCGATCATCACTGTCTCCGAAGGATTGCTGACATTCAGTGGCAACACCATGTCAGTAATGCAGAGGTTCGGCATCGTGTGTTTGGGCACAGAGATGATAATTCAATTGGTGTCACCATCTTGAAACACAGACTTCGGTGGCTTGGACATGTTCTACGAATGTCGTCCCAGAGAATTCCACGTCGTGCATTATTTGCCGACTCTGGGACTGGTTGGAAAAAGCGGAGAGGTGGTCAGTGCATGACATGGTGTCATGGTATGAAAGAAAGCTGCAAAGGACTGGCTTGTGTCGGTCCTTCACGACTCTCTGGTTGGGGTCTGAGAGATGGTGCTACACAGTGGCTAGAGACATTATCAGATATGGCTCAGCATAGAAGCCAGTGGCGATCCTGCTGTAACCTTCTTTTACTTTCTTCATAAAAAGTGGTTGTGTCTCCCTTACTTGAAAGATTTCTTCTGATTGTACCTTTCCGTTCCCTCGTTACTACCACACTACCTTACACCAATCTCTTCGTTATTGTTCTCTTTTTCTTTTGCGTTCCTTAATTTTTTTTCTATCTCTCTTCGAGTTTTCATTGTTTTATGTAGCGCATATATATTGGCGCTCTCTTGTACCAATATTTATGTGTTCAAATAAATAATAAATAAAACAATGTCTTTAATCGGCGGTCATATCACGTTACATATATTAATCCTGTATAAGGATAAAACAAAAACTCTTCGGTAATATCTAGCTATACATTATTATTTCATTGAAATATTACTTAGTAAATATTTAAAACTTTATTAACAATTAAGAAAAAGATATCAGCTAGATATTATTGTTGTTTGGGAAGAAAATTAAAAATTAGAAAATTTTACATAGAAAAAAAAGAAAGAATCAATTTATACACATAATAATTTCGATAATTGTAAATTAAGAAAATCACAATTAACATCATTCAAATGATCATCAAAATCAACAATTTGACGATGAACTTTTAAATGTAGAATTTCTTTTAATTTTTTATTAACATTTGGATTAAATGTGTACCTTGATTTCATGAATAGAATATTTATTGAAAATAGAACTTACTTTGTATCATTCCACTTCCAATCTGATTTACAAAATACTGTAAAATAGTTTCCAGTTAACCGATGCAAAGCATCATTTTTAAACTATTAAATTATTAGGGGGGGTTTTTTTATAGATCGTAACCGAATAATGTAACTTACAGTCAATAAACAAACATTACCACATTTTTCAGCTAATTTCTCACCAATTTTGCATGCAATACTTGTTGGACTATATTTTTTTACAGTGGAAAATGAAGAAAAAAAATAACAAAATTACGTATTGCAATTAATGTGTTCATTTGCTTGGAAATAACCACATATTTGAAGACCTTTAGCTGCACAATATGAGTCTATCTATCATTCAATTTTGATAAACATGAATTTTGACTAACATGATACAAAGCTGTTTCCAGCATTGGTGTCAAATTTATGACACTGTGAAATAGTGGAATATAGTCAGTAATGATTATTTGTGAATCATGATTTTGATCACTTAAAAGAATACCATTGACGGAACTCTCTGGATGCTTGGCAGCATGTAAAACCATCTTTAAAAATGAAAGTTCACCAATATGTACTGCAGCCGACATTTCCAAACTAACCTAAAAATTAACAACTGAAACATTAAATTGTTTGTCTATCAAAAGATTTACACCAACAGAGGATTAGTATGCATAGAACTATAAAAAGTTAAACAGTACATTTCGGTCAGTCAGTAACAACGTAGAACTTTTTACGTACATACATCAGTTCGAGTTGTCATACCACATTAGCACAGTACATTTAGCATTTTCAATTTTATTGCAATCCTCCTAGAAAGCAGGTGGATATCCCAAAAATCAAAACAAACTATAATCATAAACTATGTCTCCTGTATCTGGATTTAAATCCCTTTGAGCAAATACAGAAACATACTTGGTGAGATTACGTTTGGTTACTGCTCAGAATGATGCTATTTCTCATTTTTTTTAATGATAGGTGTAGAAATGTTTTTTTAGACTAATACTACACCTTGTCTATGGTAGAAAACTTTTCAAGGAAATGACAAAGCAATAACCACAAAGACAGTGTCCTTTGCATTTTTGTTGTTAAAATATCAAGTCGCATCAACACACAGATGGCTATTGAAGGACCGATACTAAGTGGATATCCATTATTGTGTGCAATTCGTTGTAAACATCACACATTTAAGCTCATGGCTATTCCGAATAAAAATGTTTACATCACCCCACTACACAAACCGGAGTTAAATTTCAAAATAAGGGCTCAGAACAGTTTTCAGTAGCATATATAAATAGCATAATTAAACTTATCATTGTTGAAACGGAATTGTCCGCAAACAGTTGCTTTTTCCGCACTAAAAATCTGTTGGTTGATGTTGACTGATAATTTTTTACTCATGACAAGCAATCATTTATTTGAAACATGAAACGCTGGTTGGTGGTGACTTTAAAACTCACCTGGTACATATCTATGTAAAAAAATCTTCGTTTTATTTATGAACCAGATGTTTTAGGAAGTTTATGTGGTAAGACTCCCGAGTGACGTTTTATTTAATGCTAATAAATTATATTACCATCATGATCCATTTATGCTGTCTTACTACAAACAAGAAACTCGTACTTTATATCTGAATCTATGAAAACTATTCTATTCTTTATTCTCGACATCAAAAACTGGTCAACTAAATCAACCTATTAAAAACACATTGTCAGATCAGCTTTGGTCTAAAGTTTATTTTGGTACTCAGTAATGAAACTCTTGGTTGGGTCACGTGAAATCGGCACATACAGATATCTTTGAGTTGCCTAGGGTCTACAATACTTCGAATTATAAGGTCAGTCATAATAAAAAGTCCTGTTACAATTGTACATTTGCCCAAGTCGTCGAACCAAATTAGCATAATGCGATAAAATTTAAAGTGAGTAGTGAGTGAACAAGAATAATGCAATAGTAATAATAATGAAGTATTGAAAATGTGGTTCGAGATGATAAATGCCTTTTTCGATCAGAAATTCACATTTGTGATATTTCACATCAAATTTAGAATGAATTTATTTGGGTTCCTGATCTCGATATTTCTGTCAATACGTTAACCAATATATACTTGAACGCAAATTCCAAGTTGACTTATACAAGTTCTGAACTGGCTTTACTTATTTTGATATTTGTTAACACATAGTGTATCGACACAATTCGTGATTTTAGCTCGTGTATTAGTGATTATAGTCTTTTAAACGAAATTCTAACGAAGATAGGTGTTGGATGATTAAAATAGTATTCCTTTACATACTAACCACTAATGGATAAAACTATTTATGTTCAAGATCTGATTGTATTCAGAAATGTCAGATGACTGTTGACAGACAGCATGAACTCGAGAAGGGATGAACCTTAGTTCATTAATACGTTTGTGGGATGTTCAGGCTACCAGCTTTGGTGAAAAATTGACAAATCCAGTGTGAATTTTGCGCAAATCTTGGAAAAATCTGGCAAACACCTCAAAAGTTACACTGCTGTCAAAATCACCACCGGTTTTGGTTCCTTTTTAACTGAAAGTCCACGATTTTCACAAATGTCCCACAAGTGAGGTTCGAGAATTAAGACTTTGAATTTAAGCAAAATGTGCTAGCTCAAACTCCTAACTTTGGGAAAAAATAACAATTCCTAGTAAATTTAGTGAAAATTCCATTGAAAGTTTCGGTAAAAAAGAACCAAAAGACCGTTAATGAATAAGGATGGGAATTTTTCCCGAAATCCACCCAAATGTTACCCAGGTATAGGATTCTTTCTCAAACTTAACAAGAAAACTCACAAAGCTCAGATGTTTTCCATTATAAACTAAATTTACCCAAGATTCTTATGCACATTGGGGAAGTGATATGAATCATCAATTGAAAATCCAGAAGATCTAACTGGGTTTTTTTCCAGAATTGACCCTACAGTTTTCCATGTACAGGAATTTTGAGGACAATTCACTGATTTCATAAACACTCTAGTTCATAGATCCTGTCCATTCAAGTAGTACAGATATATACAAATGTTCTACATTCAGTCCCGTGTACATAGATTTCTAGGACATATATACTTTATAATGGGATGATCTAAGTCCGGCCACAGCTGTTGGTTAGTAAAGCATCTGTGGCAGCGAAATAAGAAAATTCAATTTCGAAGCAATATCTTTAGATGTTGCGACAAAACACTTCAATGACTTTGTTCCTACTTCTCAGCTTGCTCCAAAAACACGGTGACATTACAGTAGGTTACTCACTTTCAATTAGTGTATAAATTTTACCATATTTGATTTTCAGTTAACTGCATACAACATTTGTGAGCGTTGTCATATTCTAATCTTATCTAATGAATCTATCTGTATGTATACACGGCGTTTGATAGAGATGATTAAAGTTCTCACTTTGGATTTCTAATTTGGAATATCATTGACGCAACCGAACAGGATTAATGAAAGTTCAGCCTCCCGAATCACTCGTTTATTTTAATAAACATTCTCATTGATATGAAAATCTCATATAGATCAAAAATGACAATCACGGTGTAAAGTACGGGAAGTGTTTTTGAGAAAAACTACTTGTAATACGTTTGATAGCTTGGCGGTGTAAGATCGTGCGATAGACAGTTTTGGAAGTAGTATTAAACGATAAATACGTTGTACGCAAAAGCTTTCCGCTGTAGCAACCACAGTGAATAGTCAAGCTTCTACACAAACTGAAGTTAATAGAAAACGTGGTTTCTGTCCAGATTATCAATGTCCATCATGACCTAGCCGCCAAGTGCCTTGGTACAGCCGAGAGTGTGGAGAGTCACCTCTCCCTCGAGAAATACCCTAACATGACCACGTGTATACAACCACTGTCAGGGAGTCCTACTCACTGCATTTTTGCAGCAGGAGTGTGGTTTAAGAAATTTGAAGGATGAAAAGCGAATGTCCGGAGCTTTAAACGGGTTGGTGGATACGGAGGATCGACCTAGGGGAGTTGGAAAATCCTCATTCCAAACCAATCGTGCACATGGGCCCCAGAATCCTGAGGGAACAAATGGCGTATGAGTCCGTCGTTGGTTATCGGCTACCGTAGGACTGCATCTCCTTATGTTGCTTCACTGTCTTGTGGATTGGAACATTAGGGCGAAGGCTCAGGGTGTAGCCCTGTAAGAAAACCGCCTGCTTCAGTCTAGGAAGCCAGGTAGTATTCCAGACCCACACGAACCAACATTTGTGTCGCGCATATGTATACGGTATCAAATAAATAAATAATCTATTAAAATCACAGATCCTTTAATTCGTCTACATATTTCGATCTCATGCAGGAAAATCGTATCTTTATGATGTTAGATAGTGGTCCTTGAAATTACTGAACCTGAGAAAATGTGAGGTACATTCTGGGAACAAAACCAGTAAAATCTTTTGAATTTTCAATTAGCGACTCAGCATTTTCTCAAAGTGCATGAAAATTTTAGGTGATTTCAAGGAATATCTTGTCAATAATCCCTACCGTGAGAAAATTTGAATCTTGTTGTGTTTTTCTCGAAATTTTGAATGGAACTGTCCCATGATTCATGAGTAATCAAATAACTTTGTACTCAAGTTGGGAGCTTGATTTTGTTCTTAGCACCTCCAGTTTATGCTTTTTCAACTCAGATTTCCAAGTAAAAAATTACGGATTTTGTGTCAATATATCGTACATATGTTTCTAACCTAAGACTAATTATAGGGAAAGAAATTTCAAAAATCAGTACCAAAACATTTGTTTCGAGGGCTAGTTTCGCATAAATTAGACTGACACCACTTGTGGACATTCACAAGCAAAGATTATTGAAACATTTTCACAGTGAAATCTTAGCTCACATTTATGATACAAATACTTAGTATTCACTAAGAACAGTGGTATTGTATCTCGTTGAATGAGTTAACTGTTCTGATTGTAAATTACGTATCAAAACTATGATTTACACTTTAATTGAATCTACTACAATTAAAGTGATATTCTATTGAATTTTTTTGGCTTTTGTGTATTTATTACATTCGAAAGCATTCTTGGTCTGTATCAAAGTACTTTAGTTAAGGCTTAAAATCTTTCTAAAGTTTGTCTTGTGGTAACCTTTTATTCGTTGACTGACATTTGTGTTCATACTGGGATCATATTGTGTGTTACACCTTGATCTGACTAAAATGGTTGGTAGTACTCACAAATGTGGACAAACAAACTGTTTGTTCCCTGTGGAGGAGGGAATGCAGTGTGACGAATGCAATAAGTTCCACAAAATTTGCACCCGTTTAAGTCCCACAGCATACAAAAGATGTTCGAAGCCTAACTCACATTGGCTTTGCATGTTTTGCTGTGCCAGCAAGGCATTACTAATACAGGAGGCTATGAGCCTATTGGCTTTGACCTGTAAGAAGAACGATGGCATGACAACACGCGCACTGACAGTGACGAATGTGTCAGTGTAGTACCTGCTGTTACGCGACGCCTCAAACAACCGACTCTGATAGACGTAAAAGTGAAATCTCCATTGACATTACCAGGGGGAGTAGTACCACCTGGTACTGACATTGTTAATAATGCACCTTTAGTAGGAACCGAAGATCTGGATAAAACAGTCACCGTTCCAAATAGTCCCATTGTTACGAGGGATGAAAAATGGACTACGGTACGTAGAAAACGAAACGAAAAAAGCTGTAAGCAGTACACAGGTAGTTAGTAACTCACTGGTGGACTCAAATTGTGAGCCACGAATTGCACTACCAAGATCTGATGGTAAGAGTGAAACCCATCCTGGCGTAACTGAGAAGAAAATCTAGTAACGTCGAATATTATTGTGAGCAATTTGCGAGAGTCAAATGACCCTGATTCGAAAATTAGACACGCGCATGACTTAGAAAAGCTAGGAGAATACATTCGTAGTATTTTACCAGATAATTCCAAAGGAGTTCAGGCCAAAAAATTGGTAAGAATAGACAAGAGGACCGAGGACAATGTTGAACCCCGTCCATGCAGACTCCTTAAGGTAATCCTAGGATCGGAGAAGCAACGGGATCACTTGTTAAGTAGCGCTCATTGTCACGACAATTCTGACATCCGAGTTAGACCTGACATATCACTCGAAGATAGAATAAAAAGGAAGAAAGCACTAGCTGAACTTGAAACCCGTCGGCAAAACGGCGAGGAAAATCTCCGGCTAGTGGGTTTTCAGATAGTCAGGCCTTGGAAGCGAATGCTCCACTGGTCCTGATGATATTCATCCTAGGGTTATGAAAACCATATCAAATGAAATTGCTGAACCATTAGCGATACTATTCGACATGTCTCTGAGACAGTCCAGACTTCCTAGAGACTGGAAAGACGCCATAATAAGTCCGGTGTATAAGGCTGGGGGTGGGGATTTAGTTAGTAACTATAGACCAGTTAGCTTAACTAGTGCAGTTGTAAAACTGATGAAGAAAATCATTCGGATAGCTGTTATAAACTATGTTGAAGGGCAAAACCTTTTCTCCAGGGAACAACATGGTTTTCGGAAAGGCCTATCTTGCTTGACAAATCTTCTTATTGCAAGAGAAGATTGGGCTGCGGCAAAGGATCGGAGTGCTCCTGTGGATGTGATTTTCATAGATCTAAGTAAAGCCTTTGATAAGGTTTCCCACTCTGGTCTTAAATTCAAACTGAAACGTTTTGGAATCCATTATACAGTCGTCGATTGGATAAGTAACTTTCTCCATGACAGGAGACAAAGGGCAAGGGTTAATGGGGCTCTCTCCTTGTGGGTACCTGTAAAAAGTGGGGTTCCCCAAGGTACAATCCTAGGTCCTCTTCTTTTTACTTTATGTAAATGAGTTGCCAACTGTAGCAAAATCATCCGTTCTACTCTTCGCTGATGACATAAAGATTTGGAGACCCATACATAGTATGTCGGATAGGATAGTGTTACAGGACGATCTTAGCTGATTGGTGGCATGGTTAGATAGGTGGTCACTAGAAGTAAATCCTAATAAGAGTGTAGTGATGCAGTTAAATAACTCTGATGAATCGTATGACTATACACTACGTGGGTTCGTGCTACCCAAAGCAAGAAACTATAAAGATTTAGGAGTCATATTAAGCAATGATCTCCAAACCACTAGTCACTGTAAGGCTTCTGCTGCAAAAGGCTATAGGGTATTATGGTCAATTCGTAGGTCTTTCCAGTATTTAGATGATGAAATGTTTAGATTACTATACCCGATTTATGTGCGACCACATTTAGAATACGGAATTCAAGCAGCGTGTCCTTGTTTCAAGTACGAGGCAGATATGCTAGAAAGAGTCCAACGACGAGCTACTAAGATGGTACAAGGTCTATCTGGTCTGTTTTATGAAGAGAGACTGAGACACTTTAACTTATTTCCGTTATCTTACCGTAGAATACGGGGTGATCTTATATTGGCCTATCGTATACGGGAGCAAAAGATAAAACATGTTAATACCAAGGTCATCGTTCAGTATACGATAGGCCAATATAAGATCACCCCGTATTCTACGGTAAGATAACGGAAATAAGTTAAAGTGTCTCAGTCTCTCTTCATAAAACAGACCAGATAGACCTTGTACCATCTTAGTAGCTCGTCGTTGGACTCTTTCTAGCATATCTGCCTCGTACTTGAAACAAGGACACGCTGCTTGAATTCCGTATTCTAAATGTGGTCGCACATAAATCGGGTATAGTAATCTAAACATTTCATCATCTAAATACTGGAAAGACCTACGAATTGACCATAATACCCTATAGCCTTTTGCAGCAGAAGCCTTACAGTGACTAGTGGTTTGGAGATCATTGCTTAATATGACTCCTAAATCTTTATAGTTTCTTGCTTTGGGTAGCACGAACCCACGTAGTGTATAGTCATACGATTCATCAGAGTTATTTAACTGCATCACTACACTCTTATTAGGATTTACTTCTAGTGACCACCTATCTAACCATGCCACCAATCAGCTAAGATCGTCCTGTAACACTATCCTATCCGACATACTATGTATGGGTCTCCAAATCTTTATGTCATCAGCGAAGAGTAGAACGGATGATTTTGCTACAGTTGGCAACTCATTTACATAAAGTAAAAAGAAGAGGACCTAGGATTGTACCTTGGGGAACCCCACTTTTTACAGGTACCCACAAGGAGAGAGCCCCATTAACCCTTGCCCTTTGTCTCCTGTCATGGAGAAAGTTACTTATCCAATCGACGACTGTATAATGGATTCCAAAACGTTTCAGTTTGAATTTAAGACCAGAGTGGGAAACCTTATCAAAGGCTTTACTTAGACCTATGAAAATCACATCCACAGGAGCACTCCGATCCTTTGCCGCAGCCCAATCTTCTCTTGCAATAAGAAGATTTGTCAAGCAAGATAGGCCTTTCCGAAAACCATGTTGTTCCCTGGAGAAAAGGTTTTGCCCTTCAACATAGTTTATAACAGCTATCCGAATGATTTTCTTCATCAGTTTTACAACTGCACTAGTTAAGCTAACTGGTCTATAGTTACTAACTAAATCCCCACCCCCAGCCTTATACACCGGACTTATTATGGCGTCTTTCCAGTCTCTAGGAAGTCTGGACTGTCTCAGAGACATGTCGAATAGTATCGCTAATGGTTCAGCAATTTCATTTGATATGGTTTTCATAACCCTAGGATGAATATCATCAGGACCAGTGGAGCATTCGCTTCCAAGGCCTGACTATCTGAAAACCCACTAGCCGGAGATTTTCCTCGCCGTTTTGCCGACGGGTTTCAAGTTCAGCTAGTGCTTTCTTCCTTTTTATTCTATCTTCGAGTGATATGTCAGGTCTAACTCGGATGTCAGAATTGTCGTGACAATGAGCGCTACTTAACAAGTGATCCCGTTGCTTCTCCGATCCTAGGATTACCTTAAGGAGTCTGCATGGACGGGGTTCAACATTGTCCTCGGTCCTCTTGTCTATTCTTACCAATTTTTTGGCCTGAACTCCTTTGGAATTATCTGGTAAAATACTACGAATGTATTCTCCTAGCTTTTCTAAGTCATGCGCGTGTCTAATTTTCGAATCAGGGTCATTTGACTCTCGCAAATTGCTCACAATAATATTCGACGTTACTAGATTTTCTTCTCAGTTACGCCAGGATGGGCTTCACTCTTACGATCACCATGGTATTAACATGACTTATCTTTTACTTACGTCTAGGACTGGTCATTTGAGAGGACATTTGAAGAAAGTTCAAAAGCTTAGATCAAACTGTTTACGTCTGGAGTTTCGTTTCTCGCACCGAGTGGTGAATTATTGAAATTCTCTACCGGAACACGTAATTTCAGCACAGTTTGTTAATTTATTCAAAACGAGGTTGGACCTCCACAGTATTACAAACTGCAAGGATTAATATAGGTCGATAGACCTCCTATCCTTATTACTGAAGACTGAAGAATAAAATATACATGGTAAAACAAAAACACTAACTGCAGTCCCGCAATTCAATCGAATGGTAACGTAATGTACGACGCTCAATGCCACTATGAAACGAACGGTTTCACATTGAATCTTGTATCCCTGCTACAGCAATAAACAGTAAAAAAGACAAATTTTTTAGGGAAATTCATACTTAAAAGTTACCACACCTCACATCCCTTGGACTATACCAAAGGGACCGAAAAACTCTCCACCATGGTTCAATAGGGAGGTCCGTATTCTTCTCCGTAAGAAAAGAAAAATGTGGGATAGATTTAGGTTACTGGGGACTGATGAGGCAAAATCTCAGTATCGAAAGGCTCGGAACACTTGTGCCTCGACCCTCCGTAAGTCTAGAAAATTGTACGAAGAAAAACTTGTAAAGGAATCCATAGAATGTCCTAAACGCTTGTATTCCTATATAAACCAAAGGACAAGGAGAAAAGGAAATATTCCTGCTCTATGGGGAGACAGTACTGCTTCATCATTAGCGCAGGACGACTTTGGTAAGGCTCAAGCGTTCTCGAACTACTTTAGCAACGTGTATACCATAGAAGCGCCCTTCTCGTCAGCATATACAGATCCCCCATACATACACTGGATAGCGTGACCATTAAAGAACTCGATGTCTTTGGTCTGCTAAATAAGCTTGATATAGGTAAATCCACGGGGCCCGATGAATTACATCCTAGGCTACTAAAGGAATTATCTAACTTCGTTGCAAGCCCTTTAAGTACATGCTTTAACCTATCCGTTACGCAGGGTCGCTTACCGAAAGATTGGAAAAACGCCATAGTAAGTCCTGTCTTCAAAACAGGTACGAAACACAAACCTGAAAACTACCGCCCCGTTAGTCTAACTAGTGTGGTGGTTAAAATATTAGAAAAGATTATTAGGGAAGAGCTGTTTAAGTATCTCGATAAAAACCGGATCCTCTCGGAGAAGCAGCACGGCTTCAGAATAGGTTATTCTTGTCTCACTAACTTATTAGTGGCTCGTGAAAGCTGGTGCGCTCTTAAGGACCAAAAGCTACCTGTAGATGTCGCCTTCATTGATTTCAGTAAAGCTTTTGATAAAGTTCCGCACAACCGGCTGTTATATAAGTTAAGAAAAGTCGGGATTGGAGGCAATTTATTGATGTGGATAAAAGACTTCTTAGTTGGGCATCAACAAAGAGTTCGGGTGAACTCAAAGTTATCTAGCTGGGAAACTGTGCTTAGTGGAGTGCCCCAGGGTACAGTTTTGGGGCCAGTGCTATTCCTCTAGTATGTAAATGACCTTCCTTGTCTCCTATCATCATCGGTCTTGCTATATGCTGACGATGTCAAGATATGGAAAGCGATACGATGTAAGAGTGATAGCTTAGAACTTCAAAATGACCTGAAGAAGTTATCTGAATGGTCTCAAACATGGCAGTTGCCGATAAATACTTCCAAGTGTGTTGTGATGCATATCGGTCATCAAGGCACAAATACATACATGATGGATAACACTGAGCTACCTGTCGTCCAGACATATAATGACTGAGGCGTTATCGTTAGTCAAGACTTAAAGACTACTGCACACTGCCGTGCAATAGCCGCCAAAAGTTTTAGATCGTTATGGTCAATACGTAGGGCTTTTAGTCATGTCGACGCTAAGACGTTTTCGACTTTGTATACAGTGTTTGTTCGTCCTAAACTTGAGTACTGCATACAAGCGGCTAGCCCCTGCTTAAAAAAAGACAGTGAGCTTCTGGAAAAGGTTCAGAGAACGGCGACTAAGCTGGTTCCCGGAATAGCAAAGCTTCCGTATGAATCTCGACTGGCCAAGCTGAACCTTTTCCCGTTATCTTATCGCAGAACCAGAGGTGACTTGATTACAGTCTACAAATTGCTTAGTGATAAATTTGCACCTAACATGTCCTCATTTTTCTTGTCTTCCAAAACAGAGAATTTACGAGGACACTCCAAAAAAGTTCACAAGCCGAGAACAAATTACTTGTCAGCTGACTATCGACTTTCCCATCGTATCATCAACGAGTGGAATTCACTACCTCAGCACGTGGTTGAGGCTCCATCCGTCGACTCTTTCAAAAGAAAGTTGGATCAACTGAGAGACCACCATTGCCAGGACTAACATAGGCCGTCGAGCCTCCTGTCCTTCCCAAACTGAAACTGAAACTGAAACTGAAAACCATTTTTACATTAGTTCAGGTCGAATGCTACTGTATTCAACTAACTTCTATACGAATGCGCTGTCAGTTTTTGTCGCTAAACTGCAGCAATTGTCATTTTTGGTGTGATTTGAACGACTTTGAAGGCTTTATAGCTTATTTATGCGTTCAGAAACACAACTGTGCCTTTAAATTTGGACTAAAAGCTGAGCTCTACCGGTTATAGAGGAAAAGTGACTCGTCACTTGCTTACGAATGGAACGAATCCAAACAAGTGCCATGATAAAGAATAAAGGTATCGGCAATAGGTCTCCAACATTTTGAAGAGTATCAAACACAATATTAGTAGATTTTGAGGAATAGTTCAACTCATATTTGACAAAGTTTGAAGTCAGAAACAAGAGGAAATAAATGTACTTTGTTTATGAGCAACAACACTCTTTGCATCGTGGGAAATTTTAGACTCAACGCAGTGATGCTGTCCAAAATCTCTGAGAAAGGCGTGCTTGATAAGACATGCAGGCATGAGCATAATTAGTTCAGCGTGACTTTAGTCATTCAGTATTAACTAGAGCAGAACTAATATCGTAAACAAATAATTAGGTTCACGTAGTTTTTACTTGTACATAACTCCGGTTAGCACTCATAGCCGTTTACAAACTAAGGATACATATGTCGTTGCCTAATACTTTAAACGTGATATTAACTCCTATTAAATCTGTTGACTGAAAATCAAACGTTGGAAAAACTACATCTGATTGAATGCAGTGAATTTGGGCCGGTTTTCAAAATCCATCATGCGGTTGTGCAATGCGAAGTATCTAACATTCATTGAACAAAATTTTCTGACGTTGAATTTGCAAGCATTCTCCAGCTATACACCACAATAACGAAACCCAAATGGAGTGATAACAATACCTCGTTATACTTCTGACCTAATTGCTGCTAATGGCCGGTCGTTAAAATCTCTATAAACATTTTTCCAACAGATAAGTTTTATGATGCGATGACGAAACCTAGATATTCGAAACATTTGAGATGTGTTAAATGAATATTTGGTTCGTTTGTTTGTCAACTATCCTCATTATTTAAAACAGACAATTGGTGACAACTATTTGACTACGTGGAATTAACCAATGCAGCCACCAGAGGGAACGGAACTCCTAGTATTATTATGAACTATGGTGGGCACTCATGAACTGAAAATCGAATGTTGTTATGCGAACTTTTGTTAATCCAAATCCGAAAACACGTACCACGCGAGTAGTGATCTGATAAGACTATCATCAAAATACTACTCCTTTAACACGCCCATATCTCTGATGAATGCACGCACCTAATCATCATTCACAAAAGTTCTTACAATATTATTAGAACGGAGCGTTTGGGGTTTCAATTAAACTTCAGAAGATATAAGAATTAAACAGGGAACTATAAAAATCACTCGCGATCCTTCAAGCACATGTACTCTAGCTTCTGAATGATTTTGTCTCACCACGGAACTGTTTGTCCCTAGTATATGCCTTGAACTCGCAAAGTGGTTGATAACTAGGTAGTTATACTTAGTTCCATGTGACTGAAAATCTATTACCTCTTATACTTTTCAATGGAAAGGATTAAACACTTCAGCATAAACCCAGTTGGTTCATCCAACGAAATCAATGGGCTGTATATAAAATGATGTAAATAAAGCCCAAAGCATGGAAATCCTGCGGCCCTTTCCAGTTTGTCTCTTGTTTGCAAATGAACAAATTTAGGTTGAAAGATGGCGTTGTTAGCTGAAATTTTCCCAGTATAACGTAGAATATACCACTTGATACTTGCTTGTTTATATAGAACCGTTTAAAGTTCTGGTAAACCTTCCATTACTATAAGATAACTAGTTAAGGCTGCTAAAGAAGTGTCGAGTGTTGACGCATAGTATAACAGTCGCTCATTTATTAAATCAGTATTTCTAAAATGTTTATGGCATGCTCAGATGTCAAGTTTACAATCAGACGAGGGTTATCTTCGCCAGGAACTTATGGATCAAAATTACTTTGTCCCGAAAATACTTTTTAATAGTAGGTCAAATAGGATTTTCAAATGATGAACATAACAACTTGGTCCTGAAGTTGTCGTAAATCATCCGTTAAATAGTTGCAGTTGGAGCGAAGGTATTTGTATAATGAGCTTACTCGGGCTGTATCAATAGACAGTCGACGCACTATGGAAGGAAAACAAAAATCATCAAGTAAACTGTTTTGAGAGTCTGTGATGGGTCTAACCAGTGATTTCAGACTTAAATGAAGCTGAACAAAACCACATTTGTGGAAACTTTTATTATCCAACTGAGTGTGTATTAATTGACCCGGAGTGCATTTTCGTTGCATTAAAAGATTTTAGTTCGTAGTAAAATTACATACTTCCGAAATCTCAACCTATATTATAGTGGATTTCTATCTGGAGATTTTGATCATTGGTATAAATTTTGAATAACACCTACTGAAGCAAATCTTTTCCGACATGACGTCAATGAATGCGGAAAATTTCGAAATTCATTCAGCACATAGGCACTTCAGAAAGATTTGGTTTAAATTTAAAATGTTTATCTAGGTTTGATTTTACAGTATTTTAGGTACATGGATAATGAAGGAGACTACTCTGTAAATTCGCAGTTACCCGTATTAGTGTCAAGTAATTTTGTACTCTTTCGAAATTACGAGGAATTGTATTTTCATTTCGGAAAGGACGGGAAACAAAAATTTATAAAGGCTACTTAAATGTTGAAATGTAATGGTGGTGGGAGTTAGTCAGCGGGAAACCGTGCTCTCACAAGATTACAAGCTTATCTTGCTGAAGAGTGCAAAATCGCACGAACCATAGATCTATACGGGGTCTTCTGTCGACTATCTTCAATCATCATTTCATCTCAACGTACTGCTCGTAATATCAAGTCACCTGGACTAGTGACCATATTGTAACTTCGTCGAAAGAATTCTGTCTGCACTAAGAAGGACCTGACACACATGGGACTGATCACTACCCAATTATTAGGTGATTGTAAAGGCTACATCCGTAAGCGGATTTCGACATTTAAGAGTGGATCAACTTTCACGGGCAACTAATTATTTTGTGGGAAATAAATAACTTATTCTAATTCCATGCTTATTTTAAAAAAAGAACCTAGTTTTCGTCTTCATACTTCCCAACAATTTTTCCTTAAACTTTGACAGCCGTACTGATTAGGCTTTTAGTGGTATTGGTTTCTAACTACACTATTGCTGAAGCCGAACATATAATCACCAATAAGATTGACAGTCAACATGTGACACTTGGAGGAGGTCAAAAATGGTGAACGCGGAGATGATTGTCCGGTATGGCATGGCTCAGCCTTGCAGGTGTTCTCGTTCTACACAGCTTATTGTTTTTTGGTATTGAATAAATCACTCTCTATCCAGCCCAGATTTGTGCTTCATGAGTGTTAGACGTCATATTGCTTACTGTCACGTTACGACTAGTTCGTGTAGAGAAGGATGTGACTTCCGTATAAGATCTTCTAAGTTAGGTGGTCACTTCATCAGAAATTTGCAATTTTTGAATTAAGTCTATTACTATATTAGTGAAGATAAATGTGCTGATAATGAAATAGTCCGTAATGTTATAGGCTTATGGATCGATAATTCTTAGATTGGTTTCTCGTACCTCATTTGAAGACGAGACGTAATATGGAGTTCTAGTATTTCGGCGATCCACATTGAGTCATAGACAGATAAAAGCAGATTCTCAAAGGATTTGTGACAAAATTCGTTAGTTCCTTCTATAATCTAGCATGCATTTAATCCGGTCCCATAGATTTACCTATATCAAGCTTATTTAGTAATCCATAGCCATTATTACAGAGCATGCATGGGGGAGAGTTTGTTATAACTAAAAGGTAAGGCATCTCTGTGGTTTATGCATCGCCAAAATAATTAAAATTTACCTGAAAGTTGCAAAGATGGTCTTCCAATAATGATGTAGTACACCTAACTCGCGATAACACTGGGATGCTACCTATTCTCTCAGTCCTTTGGTTTTTGTACGAATACAGGTGTTTAATGTTTTCTATGGCCTCTAACAAGTTTTACTTCATGTAACCTTCGTGACATGCATAGAGCCGGGGCACGAATATTTATGGTTCCTTGATATTGAGGTTTTGTCTTATCAGCACCCAAGAACTTAAACTATTCCCACATACATTTTCTCTGACAGAGAAGGATGAAAGCGTCATACTGACTCATGTAGGTGGGTCTTTTAGATTTTTCTGATGCACTCTAAAGAATGGGTGGTACTGTGATTCTTATGTGCCAATTTCTGTATATCTCCTCAGCCATACCAATGGAAGATTCTATTGTTAAATCTGCTGAGGATGTAAATCTATCGCCGATTTTTTGATGAGTAAGCTGCAGGTGTTTGTGTAAAAGATTCACAGATCATTTAAATGACTTCATACCGCACCTGAAGAGGCTTCGGCGTCGCTTCAAGTCCTTCTCGCCAGCATCTACTCATAGTATTTGCTCCCGATCAGCTTCTCTTCTTTTAACAGAGTCCGCCAGCGGCATTCTTTCCAGACTAAAAGTTCTGGTCCCTCTAGTTTGTTTTGATTCTGTAGCATTAAGGCTCTTTCATTGGAGGATGTAAGTACCACTTTTGACAGCCTGGTTTGATATTCTTGTAAGCCCGTTTACTTATCTAACCTATAAAACTTCAGTAACGTTGCCACAGTAATATCACGAGGCATCAGTTGGTTAAGTAAATTTTTTATCAAACTAATGTCATGCTCAAAGCAATTTTTAGACCCAGAGCTTTCACTTACCAAGGGTCGGTGAGACATGTCTGATCTATCAATGCGCTTAACCTTCGATTTCTCAGATACTGTATGGGAGACTGGCTTTAAATAAACGACACTGGGTTGTTTATTGTTATTGATTTGTTTTTCACTGGGTTAGTCATCACAGCTCCTCCTGTTGTAAACGGATTTAGCCCTACGACTTGGTTTTATAGGCGTTTCTTTACCGCTGCTCTTTGAAGGGCAGAGGACCGACGAAACCTGATTTTTGACCGACCACTCTGAAATCGATCCCTTCTGTCTTGAATGAAAGATTTTAATACACGAAAAATCATATCGTAGCACAAATATATCCTTAAAAAAACTAAGTTCAGTATTTTCATGCCACGATACGATGAAGAATGTGGCAGTGTAGTAAGTGCTGCTACTGGACCCGTTAAACACTTGACCGTGGTTGACGAGGACGTGAAATCTCTGTTGACATTAACGAGGAATGAAGTGTCGCTTGATATTGACATCGGCAGTCATACACCTCTAGTCGAAATAGAAGATCCGGATAAAACTGTCACCGTTCCACATAGTCCAGGTGTGGCCGTTCTGAGTGGCGACAGATGGACTTCGGTAAGAAGGAAAAAAAATAAAAATAAAAAGGCTGTAGGCAATGCGCAGCTGGTCAGCAAGACATTGGAAGGGGTGTTATCAGAAGAAAAATCCTCACCGCGTGACAAGACAGATCTCTCTGATAGATCAGTCATTTTTCATAAGATAAGAGAATCTTCGGATACTGAACCAAAGGCAAGATTTGAACATGATCTCAATCATATTAAGACATCATTAAGTAAACTACTCCCAGATACAGTTTCAGGAGTTAGTATTTGTAAGCTTTATAGAATAGGAAAAAAGGTGGATTCCGAAAGTCCTCAGAAAAACCGCCTCCTAAAGGTTACATTCAATACGGTGGAAGAAAGAAACCTGATTCTAAGTAATTCACGTAAACTGATTGGATCCGGAATATATGTCCGTGAGGATCTCAGCCTAGCTGATCGTATTAAGAGAAGAGATGCAGAAGCGGAAATAAACGAGCGTCGCCGAAATGGTGAAAGAAATCTCGTTCTTAAGGGTTTTCAGATTGTAAAAGTTCGGAGCAAAACGATCCCCAAGCCACTCTGGGTGGCAAGGGAAAGTTCTCCACAGACTTAAAAGTGTGCTACACAAATGCTCGCAGCCTACTAAATAAAATGGCGGAGCTGAAGTCAGTGGTGGATAAGGAAAAACCGGACATTATCGCTGTCTCGGAAACTTGGTTAACGTCAGAAGTATTAGATAGTGAAATCCAGTTGACTGGTTTCATAACCAGTAGAGCTGATAGATTAAACCGAAGGGGAGGCGGGGTTATTGTGTACACGAAAAGTACCCTAACCATAAGATCAGCTGAGACAGTAGCACATGTTTCAGGGACATGTGAACTAGTGAGATGTAAGTTGAAATGCCGACGGCAAGATATTGAAGTAGTTTTAGTTTATCGCAGTCCAGAAAGTGTAGCAGATGATTTTCTCCTAAGTAAACTTAAGTCCTGGTGTAACAACGGTAAAAGCCTTGTATTAGGCGACTTTAATGCACCATATATAAACTGGGTAAACTTAGAAGTAGGGTCAGCCATATCGTCTTTCGACTCCAAACTGTTAGAAACCTCGATTGGACTAGCATTATTACAACACATTAGAGATCCCACAAGATACGATTTAAGAAACTCGTCTTCTATTTTAGATTTAGTCTTCACGCACGGCGATGACGTTGGTCAAACGGCTTTTCTTCCACCACTTGGGAGAAGTGACCATGCAGTCATCTTATTCAAATTCATGGTTGAGATTGCTTGTCAAACAATTGCGCCGGCCCGTCCTAACATATGGAAGGCATATATGCAGGCAATTAACTCCGCAGCATCGGCTGAGAACTGGGAAATTGATTCAAAGGCATCAGTACAAGAGGCATGGACTCTATTCAGGCTGTTATATAATCGGGTAACCCAACCATACATACCCTGGACTGTCCTAAAGAAAAAGAAGCACGGACATCCCTGGATAGGTCGGGATATTCGACGCTCACTAAGACAAAAGAAGAAATGCTGGGATGTTGCCATCCGCCTTGGCACAGCAGGTACGCTGGAACGTTACAGATCGATAAGAAACGAGTGTATAACTAAAATTCGGGAAGCGCAAAGAAAATTTGAAATGCAGCTGGCACAATCTGCACTTAAGCAGCCCAAGAGGATATTCTCGTACATAAACTACAGAACAAGGATTCATCATTGGATTCCCAACCTAATTAAAGTAGGAAGTGAATCTGAACTGATAGAGGAAGATCAGGAAAAAGCTGAGGTTATGGCTGACTATTTTGGGGCAGTTTTCACTCAGGAACCTCCTCTAGAGAAAGAACCAGACCCAATTACAGAGTCAACAAACCAGCTGCTCACCGTGGACTTCGACCAAAACGATGTGCTTAAGGCTCTTAGCACCCTAGATATGGAAAAGTCAACAGGACCTGATGAACTACACCCTAAAA